TGATGATGATGATGATGATGATGATGATGATGATGATGATGATGATGTCGATGACGGTGATGATCATCATGATCATGATCATGATCATCATGATGACGATGATGGACGATGATGTACTTGTGGGAAGGTAACTATCTCCATCTATCTCCTCACATTGAGATGTAGACTGCCCACCACATCTATATCCAGTGATTCGGAGGTCTTTTGGAGGTTCAGCAGTTTCTTTTATCATTTTTATCAATGGCGTTCAGCCAAATTTGACAGTGGTGTGGACTGCTGAATAGTTCAGGAGTCTGATGTGGGAGCGAAGCAACCTCACGCACATGAAACGAAGCAATCTTTTACTCAGGTTTCTGAAGTATTTTGACTGATTCAGTTAGGTGTTTAAAGTTCTTCTGTATTAGTCTATCTTCTTGCCAGTCAAGCCAGTGTGAAACAAAGCAAGGTTCAAGTTCCGTACTATCCATCCAACAAGGTCCAGCCGACCCCTGGATCTTCACAGGACGTCACTCATGGCAGATCCAGTCCGGACCATAGGGGACCCCCCAAAACCCCCGAGAACGTGGAGAACCTGGAGAATCATGATACCCCTCTACCAGGAGAGGTGTCAATAAAGAACCAGGAGAGGTGTCTGATTCGGGGTGTCCATTCTAACCACCGGACTTCGAAGGTCCTGGCACCTGGATGTCTACGCTTGGCCCGGATCACCCCCACAGTTGCCCCCGGGCCAGGTAGGCGGTCTTGTTTCACCCCTCAGCCGAACCCACAGGGTCGAAATGTCTGGGAGGTCTACCGATATTTGAGTTTCACATCCATGAACAGATGACAGTTGTTGAAAGGTGGAGGTCTCCCTTGGGGTGCAAGCCGCCCGTCGTTCTTCAGAGAACTCCTGGGCTTCCGAGTCCGGGTGCCATCCACAGGCCACCATGTCGTGAGTTCGGAGTGTGACGCTCCCGAAGACGATCCCAAATGGAGCCCCGGAACAAGTGGTCGAAACCCGGTGGTTTTTCGATCCCCCTTTTTTTCGAAGACCCAAGCCGCGCGGGGTGTTCAGAGTCCCATGTGAGAAGACTCCAGGGTGATTTGACCTCGATGAACTCGGGCCGTCGGGCCATCCGAGACAACCTCGGGCGACCGAGATGGCGACCGAGTCTCCAGACCTCCAGGACTACATGCGTGATGTGATGCTGAGCAAGGCGTTAAAGGTGCACGCCTCGGCGAGAAGAAGGGTTCTAGAAGGGTTCTATGAGGTTCAATCTGGACCTTGCACCCCCTGTTAGAGTCATGGAAGTGGAACATAGGCCCCTGGAAACTGGAAACCCAGGTGGTGGACTCCATGAAGCCATGGTGAGTTCTCCTTGCAGATGGCTTCGGGCCCAAAGAAGTGGGTTATATAGGACGTTTTCATGAGTCTTTCCGGACGAACTCCGCTCCAATGGGTGGTTTTTGGAGCCCGGAGCGGGTGACAGGAAACATCAGGGTCCACCTGATCTCAGCTTGGTCGCGTGGCGTGTGGAGAGCGGGTGGCCGCTCGCAGGTCATCCATGGTGTGGAGAGCTGAAGGCGACGATCTGGATTCGCAAGGTGAAGAAGAAGAAGAAGAACCTGGTTTTGCTTAAGATGATTTGTGTGTTTTCCCTATGGTTGAGCCCCTTCTGGAGAATATGTGTTTACTTTTCCAGGTTCTTCAAGCAAATCCAAGAGATAGACTAAAGTGTGAGGGCTGCAGATTCAAGGGAAGACTGCAGAAAGAAGAACTACACCCGCGATGTTTGGTCAGACTGCGCGGGCAAAAAGGCTGAATTGGCATGTGGAGGGTTATCGAGTCAGTGTGTGCTTCTTTTTGTTCTATTGTGGGGATCAATGCTAAGGGCCGCTGTTTTTCAAGAAGAAACCATTCGATGGGTTTTCACTGTCTCGGACCTTCCACTTCTGATTGGGAGCGACCGGCAAGTCAGACTTGGTGATCTTGTTCATTTGAGTAGGGCGAAACTTGTGCGATCTGGTTATCTAACAATCTAGGATCGGTCTTTCGGCCCAAAGCATGCCGAAACTGCATCAGCCGGGTGTTTGACCCGACGTGCCACAACTTGCCTTGGCGAATTTGCGAGGGTGAACATGGGGTGACTGGGACAACATCAACGTCTCTCTTCCTTTGGCCTGTTGATGGGATAAAGCATAGAAACAGGTAGAAACCTGAAGCGACAGCAGGATTGAGAATTGGTGTCCTTTTTTTATCCCTTTCAGGGCATCACTCCCAAGAACCACCTGGCAAGAGATGATGGGCCCAAGACAAACTCGGAGAGACACAAGCTTTGGGAGGTGAACTGGGCCAAGGGCAAGCGTGATGATAGACAATTGGGTGCTGAACTGATTCGCGCTTGCTCTTTGCGTTGTTTTAAGATGTTTTTTTGTGATGAGCTTGATCTGTGCCTCTATATCCAAAGCAGTACCAGTGAGGTAGATATGCAACTTGTCCACCGTTTCCACCTCGAATGCTGAGGCAGATAAACTCCGATGTCTATAGCATCATCCTGAGCAAATAGATTTAGGCAACCCCCACCGATCCGAATGACTCAATTGATTGGGCAGCTTGAAACACTCAATCCCTACAGCTCCAAGTAACTCCTCAGGTTCGGTATGACTGGAGCCCAGTTCCGGGAACGCGATCGCTGGATGTCGTACCGATCGCCGCAGGCCTGGCAGATGCTCCAGTGGCAGCGGAGAAAAAGTCCTCCAGTTGGGCCAAGACGTCTAGCGGTCCCCTCCCTACCTGACTCAGTTAGCCACCCTACTGGGGTACCCAACTGGGATAGTCAACGCTTTGGGGGTTCTTCAACCTTTGTTGGTCTCCAGTTGGTCGACGAGGATGAGTCGACCTTGCCAGGATTGGTTGCCTTCGACAAGTGGGCAGTTGTTCTGAACATTGGCGAATCTTCAGGTTCCCATGTGGGCCACCGCTGCAAAAGACACGTAGACACGTCGTGGTGTGCCATGAAGACATGTGCAGACAAAAGCCGACAGAGGCCTGCAATACTGGAACACCTTGGCATCATTCGAGAAGAAGGAGTCTCCAAAGGCCCGGTTGGAGTCTCCAAAGGTTTGGTCACCCACAAAGGCGAGGAGGCAAGAGCTTTGATGGCTTTTGATGTGAGTCACGGTATGTGTATGGGTCGAAGGGCAGTGAAAACCACAGAAACCATGCTTTCGGTTGACGTCCCGAACATAGGAGGAATCATATAGTTCTGTTGGCCCAACGTCAACCAAGGTTGGTACGAATCTGGCAGATCACCGCCTCCAAAAAAAGCATTGTTTTTGTAGACTGACATTGATCCCTTTTTCAGATCAGCACTTGTGCCAGTCCCATGGGTTGTGGGACTGGGAACTACTTCCTCACACCAGTCTGATTCAGGCATCACAGCCCAGATGCGTTTGGCAACCTTTTGAGCTGCAATTCCGCTGCGCCAGGGCAGCATTCCTTTGCTTGGCATCACCCGCATTTACCTTGCCCAGTCCCCAGATCAGATGAGCAGAGACTATAGTGATAGGGCAACGTTGCTGGTTTCGCGAACCTTCAAAGGAATAGACACGACACCTAGTTGCTGGTTTCGCACAGTGACACAGTGCAATGTTTTGCCGAATCTACTCGAGGAAATGGCAGGAGCACAGCTTCAGGCAGTTCCCTTCCCCAGTAGTGCAGCACTTTCAGCTGAAAGCTATACTGTATATATAATATTACATAATATAAAATATAATATAGTATAATATCTAATATGATATAGAATAGTATTATATAGCTATAGTTTCAAAGCTATAATTGGTGTGCACCAGCATTGGCACCTCCATGATGATATGAGGAATTGAGGAATGATCCAGTTGCTGGCTGTTGGGTGAGGGAACCTCATTTGAAGAACTCTTGGGGACCCACATGGATAGGAATGGCTCGAAACCAACAACCCGATGGTTCATGCGAAGATGAACCATGGAATGCGTCAGATGGGGTCAAGGTTCATTGACCTGTGTTTGGAGACAGCTTTATTTAGATCATGAAACTCAGCTGACATCTGCAGAAGCCGTTGCACCGCCAAGGATGAGAACAACAAGACTGAGGTTGTGGTGGGGCACTTAGTGTCCATTTGCTTATTTCCGGACATTTCCAAGCAACCCCAACCCCTATCAACCTTGAGCGCCGACTGTTGATGGAAGAGTTCTTACTGGACAACACCTGGACGTCCTTCATGGGCTATCAATTGTGGACCTTCATCTTCCCTGGCAGTTGCCAGGGGTTTTCCGTTATGCACTTCTTTCCCGAAGTCCAGTCCAGCTGAAGCCAGGCTCTGCAACCTCTCCTGTTGCCTGCCTGGGGCTAACCACGTGCCCCTTTGGAGCCAGAAATTCGCATGGCCCAACTGTTCCCCACCCCAAAAAGGCAGACACATGAAAGAGCATGAGGACACTGCGACGGAAGGATGGTGTGTATGAACGAGCCCTTCGGCTCACGGTGCTGCATCGGTCGTTTTGCCACCAGCCGAGGTCAAGTATGCGAACAGCGCGAACAGCGATCCAGTCAGTTTCTCAGGACGACTTGGACTGGATTTGGCAAGTTGAAAGCCACTGGAACCTTCGTCTTCATGAAGTGTGACTCCCTTGGAGGCCGCTCCTCTGTTCAGACCACATGGAAGCCCCCCAAGTCCCCACGGTCGGGTCTGAGTCTGTTCCTTCCTCGCCTTCGGGGTCGGGTCGTTTGTTGCGGGTTCCGACCTGGGTGAATTCGACGGTCTATGGGATCGATCGAGTTCGCCAGCGGTCGTCCTGGCAGGGCCCGGACCGGGTCGGGTCGGGTCGTCAGCATTGACAGGTCGGTTCGCCAGCGGTTTTTTCTGAGGCCCGGCTGGTAAGACACAAAGAGGTGAACACTTGAAAACTCCTTGACAGGGCTGTTGGAAGACATGCCCAGACTTGGAACAAATCATAAAAGTGGTTCATCTCTGTTGCCTGTTGCACCTGGGCCAAGTTATTTACTTCTTTACTCAATCACAGTATGGCCTGCCACTACCCCCCACACCGATTTCGGTGGGTGCGCATCAATCGAGTTGACTCTCACTCTTGACAGCGAAAGTGGGTGCGCATCAGGTGAGTGAATTGTGATTTTTTCCCTATGGGCCTATGGGCCAACTCCCTTTGTTGATCAATTTGTTTCCAGCTTCCTGGACAGACAGACAGCAGACAAAAAGCATCCCTTTGGAGAATATCCCGCCATGGCACGGGTCGAAGTGATTGGAAAACCAATCGTCGCATATCTTCGCATAATTTCGCGTATCGGTGGCTCCACTTGGAGGTACAGTTGCCGCAGCTCCTCTGCTCCCAAGTCTTTGCTCCTTTACTCTTCTTTCGCCCCAGGTCTGGTTGAGATTGAGCTTTCCTAGTCACATGAGCGCCGAACAGTGGCGCAAGGACGTGCTCCGGGGAGTAACGGACACAACAACATGAAGTGAAGGGGTTCCAACACGGAAAGCAGTGCTTCCACAAGTGGACCAGTTCATACCAGTTCCAAGGCAAACGTGAAGCAACCTGGGTCATCGAATGGGTGGAAGGTGTGTCCCCGAAACTAGCACGTTGAAACCATGTCAGGTGGTCAATCGAAAAGCTTGCTCGCCGGTGCGCTAAGGTGAGCGTGGAGACAGAACAGTGGTGTCACAAATGTCGGATGGATATGTTTGTCAAGTGGCTGACTGGTGCACAGCTGGGTTGGTCTAAAACAGCTCTTTTGAGACCGAGACCCCCTGTAGTTAACCAACTTGAAACTATTTACTCTAGATAATGTAAACTCTTGATGAGAAAAGATCAAGAAAAGACGTCCATATGGTGTTTATTAATCAAGAGTCTACATTAAGTGTTCAAGATTTGACCCCTTCAATGGGTAGAGCTGGTAGAAGTAGAAACTGAGCTGAGTACAGGTTCTTGCGGCTATCAGAGGTGTTTCATCTCAATGTGATTGGCAAATAATGGGCACCATTAGGAGCCTTTTGACATGTTTTGACCATACATGGCTTCAAATGAATCAAGTTACTGTAAACCACGGGAAGGACAAGTAAGTACATCCCTGCCACCAAGGCCCCAATGATGTTCCAACGGTCCCCCCTGCCCCGACCATTTGGATGAAGGATCACACTTTTTGTGGATGGCATGGACCCGATGGGATCCGAAGACCCGGGCCGGGGCGGTATTCACTCAACAAAAACTCAACCCGGGAAATCCCAGGGCCCACACTCCATGGGACTGCCATATTTGCCTACATTGGGGTGGTTTGGGGGGGACTATGTGTTCTTTTCGGCCTCTCCGACTCGTGACTTGGCGTCGGCCACGCCGGAATCGTTGGATGACGCCAGTGCCTTCGATTTCGTTGGAGGAGCTGCGGCAGATTCGGGCCACCTTGTGAGACCCCAAAAAGCGGATGTGGGGATGTGGGAGGGGGGTGGCGAGGTAAAAAGTCTATTGAATTCATGCAGTAATTCATGCAAATAATAGTTGCCCATTTGTTGACCAAAGGTTAGTAATTAATGTGAGTTTCATGATGATACGAAGAAGGACCTTCCAAGGTAAACCGGTTGCAGAAGACGTCCGTCCACTTCTGCGCGATTGTTTTTTGCATGAGTTGGGGCACGTCGAGTTTCAGAGCTGCTGGGAAGGTCGAAGCCTTGAAAAAACGTCTTCGAAGTTGTAGGACGTGGGTGTAGGAAATGGGCATTCGTGGAGTTATTGGGCGGATGTGAACATTTGATTGGAGTAACCATGCAGCTTTGTGCCTTGTCCACAAGGATTCCAGGATGACATTCTGTTCAATCTTCGGGCTTCTCCAAGACAGTCTATGGGGAGGTCGTTTTTCGCAGGTGGGAGGCCATTGCAGTAGGTGCTCAAGGTTCAAGTGACGGGCTTCTTCATGCCCAGTAAGGGCCACTCATCGCCCCATGTGGTTTGGGCTCAAGGGGGGGAGGCCGGCGCATGGTGGAAGCAGTGCCTCAAAGGACCATTTGGACATTGCTATGGGTGGTCACATGTTGTTGCTCATGTGGTTTTAGCTGGGTCCCACTGGATGTCAGAGGAGCTTTCACAGCCGCGTGTATATAGGAGGTCAAGAAGCCTTGTATGCTGGGCTTGCACACGCAATTGACACCAGAAGGGGGTTTGCCAAGCATGAGCAACAACCACACTGAGTGAACTTCCAAGCCCCCCATATCCAGCGACATGGACCTTTCACAAGCCCAGGAAAGAATGGAGTGGAAGGAAAGTCAGATAAATCGGAACGTATTGACCCGTGAGCACAGTCACCGGGAAGATCACTGCTATATTTTAGAGGAAAAACACCTTCTTAACTGCCAAGCGGATCCAACGGTCAATCGCCATGAGCAGCATCTACCAGGTCGGGAGCTCCAATTTAACCAATGTGGCGTAGGACTCCCGGCATCCCCGCCAAAAAAGAACTAGAGACCAGCCCACCAGTAGAAACCAGCATGCTACAAGAACTATAGAAGGGGTTACCAGGTTGCACTACCCTCCACCCCCATACTTGCACAGTGGTGTGCAATAGTTTTTCATTGGGCACCCCTTAGTCCTGGCAAACTTGTCATTGTCAAGAAATGGCCGCAAGAGAACGACCACACCACCGTGCGGGAATGGCAAAGAGCCTATTGAGGTTGCTCTAGTGCCAATCGTGAAAGAAGTACCATCCCAGTCAGTGAGTGGTACAGGTTCGGACCAAGGACGCCCTCCGCCCCCCCCAAGAAACTTGGCTACAAACTACAGATTCC